AGCAGTGCCACAACGCCGCCCATCAAACCAGAAGCACTGGCTCTCCGCTGCTGAGCGCCGGTGTATTAATGTAAAATCCCCCTTTGCAGGCATTTCTAGTTGACCTATCGATATTTTTCCGTTTCAGTCGGCCGTTTATCGCTTTATCAGCAGGTGGCAGTACCAGACGACAGGAATTTGGGAAAGACAAGACCCTGCCTTAGGGTAAAGCTGCTCCTTTGGTTTGTTCAGAAGCGCGAGCGGTGTCGATGTCCTTGACCAACTCAGACGTACATCTTCCTCTAACTGATGGAAAAGTTGTTCCCATACCTGTCCCGCTATTTATGGCTCTACTTAATTTAATAGTGCTATAAAGCTGAATTCAATTAGATGCAAAAGTACAATATTTATTCCAAATATCATTCTCCCTAAAGATTAAATATGCAGGTGCCTGTAACATTTTATATAGCACTTATTCTGGTAATGTTGCCCACTATTTTTCACACATTACAGTACTACTTAAGTCAGCCTAATGACTTCAAATATTACTAGTTTTCAGTACAAGAAGAGACCTCTGTTTCTTAGGCACCACTCCTCCTCCAAGTTTTCTTTAGTCTGCTTGAGGAAACAAATGCAGATTCTGATGCAGACCCAAAGGAGAGCCCTAACTACAGCACTTTTTAGGAGAATTACGTATACAGATTTTTACCTCTATACAATAGACAGGAAAAACTGTACGATCAGGCCCTCCCAAAGTACATCCTTTGTTACTCCTTTGACATCAGAAATCCAGCTGGACAAATGACTGCTGTATTAAAGTTCCAGGTTTTAATACGCAGACCGTTTGCAGACGGTAGTTTTTAAAGCGTTCTTTCCTTCTGCTGGAGCTGATCCCACTGTAACTCACTGCAAAAATGCTTCGTTACGACATCCTTCCAAATCAGTCAGCAACACCTCCTGTGTTTACTTTTGTGTCGCTGACAGCAAGATTTGTATGTGTTTTAATCTCTGGTGTGACCCAGAATAGCTTTATTTAAACTTCCCTCCACTTCTTTCCCTCCTTCGACCACAATTTTGTAGAGGCTAGCTTAAAAATCTTGCCTATCAGCGCCAGCCAAGCACCCTGCTACCAGTTTAATACGTGGCGTAGGAAGCAAAGAAGGGGAATTTGGTACATAATAGAGAGGAGGGAAATAGTTTTTCGTACTGAAATGGTAACATGTTAAATGCAAGGTAAACCAAGGAGATTCATCTGAGGAATGCACAACAGCCAGCCCCACAAGTGCTACTGATCCATTATAATTGACCATTAATCCACCATTGGGAAGTCTCATTTCATCAGGGCAGCAAGCACTAGGCTATGACGAAGAGATTACTAATAATACGTCAAAAACTCCTTGAATCCAACTTCTGTTCCAAAGTTCTCATTCCATGAGATGACAGCCCCAACTCACACGGTTAACAGGGAGCATGCATTATTTTCTGGGCCTGAAATACAAAGCGACAAGCCTAATGGCCTATGAAATAAAACTGAGAGAGGAGAGTACAACGCGAGAATGGCAACAGGTCTGGTCTTGTTCTCACTGAAGTTAGTGGGAATCAAATCAGACTGTCTGATGAAAAAAAAAAATTAAAAATTGCTTCAGCCTACAGGAAACCTTACTGTTAGACAAAGCCACATTTTGGAGGGCTTTTTTTATTTTTTTTAAATCATGATATACTTCATGATATAATATGTATTTATTTTTAGAAAAATGTCCAAGAACTTTCAGATATTTTTTGTGTAGAGTTTGAGGCAAGATGTTTCAGCATGAAACTCAACTATCAATAGCAGATTATCTAAACCACCTCAAAGGTCAAAGCAGCAAAAAATATAATAATGACAAAGACATTTTATGGTTTAGAGAAAAAGACATTCTTTTAAATGTTGATTTGGGGATCAAGGTGGCATAAAAAACCCAGACGATGCCATTTTCTTCAGAGAGTCAGTATTTTCATGCTGCTCTTGAATGAAGTTGTATATTCTTACGTGATCCAAAGCTGTTACAATTATTTTGAACTGCTGATCTTCCAGGTGTGTCCCCTCTCTGTCCCCCCCCCCTTCAAATTAGTAATTTCCCAGTAGTATGTATTCCTTCAAGGAACTGAAGGTAAATAAGGCCCAAGGATATCAGCAAAAGCTGTCCTGTTTTCCACTAAGGAGTTATGCTTCTACAGTTTAAGCTCTTGAGATACTTTATAGACATCTGCTAAAATAAATATGCAATTTGCAGTACTCCATGTGTTTCCTTTTTTTAAATTGGAAGCATGAAACCATCTTATTAGATACAAATTTTTTTACCTGATGAAAAGTTATGAGCTGGAGAAAGAAACTGCAAACAGGGGAACGAGCTATTAAAAACACAAGAAATCCAACATGTTCACAACTACTCGAAGAAAAAAATTTGGAGAAAAACCTTATGTCCAAAACAGTGACATTCCCCTCTTCTGAACAATAATACTGGATTTTTGTAAATGCAGCTCTTGTAACTAGTGATGCTCAAAACTACTGTGAAACGTTTCAACCTCAGGACCTCAGATGCTAACGGTAATTGGAAACAGAAAGCAAGCTGTTTGCAATACTGTAATAAGCTGTGGTGATTTTGTTATTTTAGATGGGAATGTTAATGACGAGCCACAAATGCAAGTTGTTACAAAGCCTTTGAGAATAAAGCTGCGTGCCCTATATTCCCCTCCCTTGCTGTTCCAGTTAAAACCGTATCTGTGGAAGGACAAATGAAGATGTTGCCATGGTGACCAGCGCAGTTACCAAATCACGTACAGTGTAGGAAGGATTCCCTAAAGAACCTTATTAAGCGTTTTGTTGCTCCTTTTTAACAAATATTTTCAGAAAGCCATTTTTATTTTGCTGTCAATAAAATACCTACTCAGTTAGCTAAAGCCTATTTCTCTACCCCCAAAATAACGCTGAACACAGCACGCATTGAGAAATATTCTTGTTATGGGAATCTTAAGCTGAAAACTGAAAAAGGAACCAAGGACGAACCTAGCCAAGACCAGACCTGCTCAAGATATGTGAATGTTTTTCAGAATAGGTACTGTGAAGCACCTCTGTGCCTACTAGGCTACCGATGTCTTCAGTTGCCAAATTAAAACCCAAACCTTTAAATGAAAGACATCCCCAAAACCTATTGGTTAGAAGGAATATCAGCTTTTTTTACAATAACATTACAAGAATTAAATTAACACGGAGGTTCCGGGTTGGACATACATGGGAATGAGCTGGCTAGCAACAGAACCAGAGCCCAAAGCCACACCTGGTGTCACCAGACCGGCAGCTGAATGCCCTTGGCTGCGGCACATTATCCAAGTTGGTTGGCAAAGAAAACCAAACCTGTACAATGCAGACATCTTGTATTTCCACTGCACAAAACAGTACAACAAACATTGACGGAAACTGCTAAAAACAAGGTGGTGCAGGTACGTGCGCTTTGGGCTAAACACAAACAGCTTCTTTCCCCAAACCGCCCTTTTTTAGCATCCGAATTTAGCATTTAAGTATATCCCAAGGCCCAGAGTTCCTCAGCTGGCCTTTGCCTTGCAAGTATTTAAGACGCTGACGGAATACAGGTTTGCACAGAGGAAGGGTGCTCTGTGAGCGGCTGTTCAGAGCCAGTGCAGTTCTCCAACAAAATCGTCTCCCACCCGACGCGTGGGGCCGACTTCACAGGCATTTCCAAGGAGCGACATTTCCAGTACACTGACACATTATACACCAAGTACCGCAGTAAGGGAACTCTCCTAATGTATCACACCAGAACACACCAAGTACCACAGTGAGGGAACTCTCCTAATGTATCACACCAGAAAGGAGCGTTTGCCTTTTTTTTTTTGAAAAACAAAAGTCTACAATGTAACTTTTTTCCATCAAATACCTTGATTGAGCTTAATTTTACATATTGAAGAAGACAGCTCAGTCACATTCCATACCTCATTCTTTTTGTCTTGCTGCACTTTAAACGAAATCAAAACCAAAAACCTCTCAGAACCTCCACAAATTACTTGCTGATAACTTATCTGACGACTAATCCGTGGCTACAGAACATACACACTTAGCAGCTATCATTGGCACAGTGGTCTCACTGCATATTTTACAGCGACATTCATTTACTATTACTCTCCATCCTCTTAAAGTCTTGCTCTCATGGGCAAGAATACGTAGAAAGCTGCTTAGAAAATGCAGTCCCCCTCCCTGTACTGATCAGGGCAGATTTACACCCTCCACTAAGACTCTCAGGAACCGCTGATATATTACAGTTCAGTTTACTTTCTAAAATAATTTAAATCATTATCATTCAAAATAAGATACAAGCAGTCGTGTTTTTCTACAGTTTTATTGACGCAGTCCTAGTGTGTAACTATACATCTTCATTTTGCTTGTGGTTACAGTGTTGCTCTACTAAGATTGCTTTTGTAGTCAAGTTTATTACAGTCTTCAGAAAACATATTTATAAACATCACTTACTGTATAAGACTGATTATTCCAAACATTGTAAATCACTGGGATTTTTTCCTAAATAGTGCTATGTGAGGAAAGGTCACACTACTCTCTTTAGATATAGATTTGTAAAGGCAAATGAATTAAATTCACCTTCCAAAGAAAACAAGAATGATAAAAATAGCTTCAGGAATCGGTATGACTCATTTAGGTCTCAGAAAAATCTATGACTGGCAAAGATAACTACAATTTGATACTGTACCCAATGCTTTCATTAAGACCAAAAGAATTTTTTATGGAGAACTGAAATTAAACTTGTACATTGGTCTGAAAGATAAGGACTAGCTTGAATTTATTAGGATTTTAAAAAAATTTTTATTTTTTTACCAGAAAATGTACTACCTTCTAAAAATACTGTAGTTACAGGCTAAGTATTGATATCTGAAGAAAAAAGAGCTAAAACTAAAAGCATGCAACACCGATACCAAATTTTAGCAGAAGACATTTTTAATTGAAAACTGACTCAAAGGATAGTACAAAAGAGTTTCTTCTCCCTAAAGGGATTTTCAGATGCAGGCACTGGAATAATAAGGGGATCTTCTCCAATATGAGCATCACAATATGCCAATAAATCTGCTGCAGCCTTGGATACCTAATAGAAGAGAAGAGAGAACGACTGTAACACTTCATTCTGAGCCAATCTGCATTGCACAAATATTCTTCATATAACATGCGGTAATAGAGGCTATCATGAAATAGGAGTAGATTGGTTTATCCTTTAAATTACTAGAGACCACAAACTCTGAATTTGCTCTTACTAGGCCTAGTAATCTCTATATACATTTTATCTAACATAGCGACATGAGATGGTATCAATTTATATGATTCGTGTTCAGCTGTTCCTCTCCATCAGAAGGAAGGGCAGGAGCATATGCTCATTAAAACATACATATGCTAACGGCCCCTAAGCAATAGGAATTCTCCTTGAAGTGTGTGTTTCTGTAGGATCCACCTGCTTCAGCTCTTATTCCCAGTCACCGGTTGTAAGGTTTTCCACAAGCACCCTCTCTACCTTTTGCTCCTCCACATGCAAAACAAACAAAAAGTTCTTTAGGCACATGACCATGGGATTAAAAAGAAATAGCAAATCATTAGCAAAACCCGATCATCATGTGCCATAGCTCTCATTTAAGCTAAATATTGCTCTTTTCAATGAAGTCAAACTAATATCTTCTGCTTAGTAAGTTATTATAACTAGTACTTTTTTGGTTGCATTAATTTAAGCTTGAGCATTACCTTAATATTTTTTCTTTTAATATTTTTATATTTCTAAAATGAACAATTCGAAAGTCTCCAACTTCGGAATGCTGGTTTATGCCTACTGAAAAGTCCTACAGAAATGTAACAGTGTGTTGGCATACAAGATATTTTGCATGAAATGAAAAATGAAATATTAAACCATTTGAGCTGTAGCTGAAACCTTGTAACCTTTGGAGCTTTGTGCTGTAAGAATATTGGCGACACTAGGCCACCGTGACTCATTTATTTTTCTCAAGAATTTAGAATGTATGTATGAAATATTTTTGTTCTGCTCCGTTAGCAAGATATTTACAACTACCTGTATCTCCTTTCTTTGCTTAATTATTGTGTTTTCAGTATTATGATAGTTGAGAAAATGAGATCAGAAGTCTTTACAAAAAAAGTCTTTTCTCTGAGCACCATGACAGCTTCTCCCGAGCCAAACACTGAGGTCAGCGTGTTTGCACAACTACAGTGAAGAGGGAAACCAAATTGGATTTCTGGTATTTTTCTAGCAGGTGTGTCATCCCTGTTAGCTTTAGCCTCCCCACACCCTGCTTGCTCTGGCATGAGTCCAGCCTGTAGTAGGCTTCAGATTAGACCCATGAAGTCAATAGGTGTTGGATCAGAATTCACACAAAATTTAAATTAACTTCTGGAAGAAAGTAACTTGACTTTTAAATTATCCACTAAAACATGCCTTTGTAGAATGCTTAAACCCACAAAGTACCTATGGTTGGCACCCCAGTATACACTATCCTCCTAGCAGAGGAAGCAAGGGTGTTTAGGTTACTTAAATTTAAGTTTGCCTTTGCATTGGCCCGTAAGACAAAAGGGTGGGCAGAGAGACTCCGTGTGAACAACAACAGATTGCTGGGCCAACCCAAAGGCGCTAAACTGAGCAAATCAGCAGAGATACTCAGAAGGACCAGTGCTTCTCAAAAGAGAAGCAAGTCAAACAAAAATGTGTGGAAAATGACGGACTTTAAAGTACAAAGAAAGAACGGTAATTATTTTCAGACATGCTTCAGTTGCTTACTTGCTAAGCAATGACAAAAGAATGAGGCTGAGGGTGTGAGGGCACTGTCTGGAATAGAGAGGTAGAACCATAATGAACAAACAGAACACTTAGGAATCCTACCCTATTCCCAGTTTTCCTTTAAATTTATTTGCAAATTTTTAAAAAGCAGATTCTCCAAAGAAAGGCACAATGTAGACGGACTATGAAATTCCCCAAAAGATCAAAAGACAGAAATGATACTTTTCTTTGCTCATGACCTATGCTGTACCTCAGCAAAGTATAAACTAGCATAGAATGCATCCACTGCAGAGGAGGTTAGCAATGTTTCCAGTAATGGCAGAAGGACTGTAACACCACAGCATTTCGGAGAAGTATTTTCAAGTAACGACAATCACCAGTACATTCATAATTATTTAAACATACACATTTTCACTTTCTACTGTCCTTCAACATCAGCTGCATGTCTCAAATTAAGGCAGTACTATGCTCTAATTAATTTATTAGCTGGTCCTGAACTCTTGCATTCAAACAGAGCAAGTCAAACTCGGAGCCACAGGTGCCCAGAACAATGACATTTTCAGTGCTATATCATAATAAATGTTACTGCCATAAAACCTAATGGAGTTTAATTCTCTGTGTCCCAGAGACAGGATTTACTAAAGATGCCCAGCACTTTTCATCTTCAATTATTAAGCTAACGATTAAGTTATTTTGTTCATGAAACCAACAATGTTTTTAAGTAGACTGAGCCCACAGGAGCAGAGAACCAACACTGGACTTCAATAGACCGACCTTCCCATAACTATCCTGTTTGTTCCACGTATGGATAAGCAACATCAGCCCGAGTATACTGCTTTGCGATCGATGGGAGAGAAGCACAATTTCAGTCATCATTCTTAGAAGGGATAAACCCAGCACTATCATTTTCTAACTGTTTTTCTACATATTACTGTGCTTTGACAACATGTGACAATAAAAAAGATTTTCACTAGCAAAAGTGCAACGTAAATTTTTGTATCTAACTTGTCCTGGAGTGCTGGTAGGAATGCCATGAAGCAGAGCAAGCACTTTCTTCAACGTCAGAGTGTTTAAATCACAAATTAGTTTGCTTTTAGACAAACCATGGTACGATTCAGTAGAAAACAAACCTGCAACAAGGAACTGAGGAACATGATCACATTTCAGTACATTGTCACAAAGGAAACCTGTACTAGGCCATACACTTTCATCCTTTAAAAAAAAATAAAAGGTTTGGGGAGGAGAAATCCTCCCATCAGGATTACAGTGGTTATAAAAGTACATTATGGCCATTTCTTCACTAAAAGTGGAGTAGCTCAGGCTTGGACAGTGGAATAATGACCACTCACTGAGTGGAGTTAATTTAGCTGATCCCATGCCAGGAGCAATGAAAACATTGGTTCCTGGGGCTGCGAGCAGTGTTGGCAAAGTCAGAACCATGGCCAAAAAAAGATCAAAATACAATGTTGGCTCCAGCAAGTTTCCTGCTCAGTGTTATTATTCAGAACAGTGGCAGAAGACCTCTGCGTTGAGCATTGCATTAAGGGTACAGCAGGGACGGCTGCTGTAGCATGGGTCAGCATGCAGGGCTGGCCTCATGCCCAATACTGTGGTTTATTACTGTGGTTTATCACTGTATACACAAAATAACGTGCTGATCATCCTCTTTATGTCATGGAGGAAGTCAAATGAAGGCCACTCTATCACAGTTTTTACTCACCTTTAGGGTTATTTGTAGCTGCATGCTGCTGGATGGTTTCAGAATAGCTTTTATTAAGAGTTAAAATAAAAGCATGTAATTTTAATATTCAAATGAAGCTAACACATTTATCATTTCAGCTCTCCTATGCAATACAGCTTGGTCTGCAGACTCAAAGTAATTTACACATATTGCAGAAATGGCTAAAGAAAAAAAAAATCAGACTCCAGTTTGATTGATGAATTCTAACAGAGAGTTAACATTTCATTTTTTTTAATCTTTTAAAGTGCATAGATAGAGGGGATGGAATATATAGGTATCCCACCAATCTCACATTTAATACAATTATTTTTACTGCGTGTAGTGAAAAACACATCGGGTTGTCAAATTACCAAAAGGAAAAAAAACCC